TCTCAAGAGTCTCCAGATGACGAATAAGGCATTCCGCGTTATCAGACGGCGACGCAGACTGCTACTCCACTTGTGCTGGTGCGTCGAATGCGATCTTCCCTCGCCATGTCCCGTTTCCTGGGACTCTGTCTTCTCTTCGCGGCGACCTGCCTCGGTGGGGCCCAAGGTCAAGGTGAGTTCGATTTGGGTCGATGCGACCCCCTGACCCTCTCGAGGTCGTTCGGGTTCAGCTGCCGTTCAGGGGCTCGGCAGGATCGCGCTCAAGCGCCGCTCTGATTTTGACCAATTTAGCTTTCTGTCAGGGCGATAGCGGCGAATGAATATTTCCGAGATTTCTTTCCTGTCCTTTCAATATTTCAAGTGTTGTAACCTCAGCTGCAAGTGTGTGGAACCACTTTGGACCCTTTCGAACTTGAACTCGCATCCTTCGCACGATTCTCCCCTTGTTAAGGCTGCCCACATCTGTGCGTCTCATCCTTTTTACATATAATATCCCCTTTTTACATATAATACATCTTATATCCGATTATGTCCATGTCTCGGAAATAATATGGGGAAATGTTAAGACAGAAATTCGACAGTGATACCCGAGAGCATCATAGGACTTCGCTCCTAAATGACCACCAGAGTTCAAGAAAATTTCGTTTTATCGTCTGGGAGGAAGACGTCTTCCCTCGACCAGTCTGGATGAAGACTAATGAGGATAGGTCACGACTGATGTCGAATGGTGACGACTGCGAGTGGCGACGCCTATCAAGGACGCTAGTAGGACGCAAATCACGAGCATAGCGATATGTTGCGTGTCGTGAAATCATTATGAACTTCGCACAAGATGGACGGGCCACGTAAATACCGTTAATGTGTTATCACAGGGAGGATTTCATGCCACTATGAGCTGAGAGTTGCGAAATCTGTCGTAATTAAGCTAAATCTTGAAGGAAGGTTTCTCACCGTCATATCAATGAATGCCTAATTTGCAATGAATTGAAAAAAGTGACGTGGAAAGAGTACTGTGGAAACCTGACCATTCTCTTAGTAACAACAACATGATTCGGAAAGAACGCGAGATATCCATGGTTAAGGAAATAAAGACCCCAAATAATGCATGCTGCTTAATGAAGGCAATGCGTGGGCCTGCTATTGCCACCACTGCCATCTGGCGGGAGCTCGGGTCCCCAATCAAAGTAAGGCTCCAGTCCCGTAAGCACATAGTACAAAAACAAGGTCCACTGATAGATTTGCTTATCCAAGTTGTTCTGAATGTTCATTTAGGTCTGCCCTATCTGCATTAGATTCCACCTACCCTAACCAAGAATGGTTCTACCATAATCCTTTTTTCAGCCTGCAATTTGAGCTTGCCCGCAGACGTGAATGTGGACGAAGTTGCTGAGATCGGCTTCGTGATCGGTAGATATCGCACTGAGAACACCTACGACCTCCGCGCTGTAGGGAATGCAGTTGGCCTCATTGGAGCTGAAATAGATGGGACTGAGTTGGTTATAGTGGTAGTAGGGGATCTTACCAGCACATATCCAGACCTCGTAAGTCTCTCGAATTCGTATATTTGAAAGGTGTTGAGGGCGGAGGTATTTCTTATCGGGGAATTGAAATGGAGCTAAAATTATACTTCCTTTCAATCTGTCTCTAAATTACGAGAATTTTGCAATCTTTTCCCTCTTGAGCGTGAATCTCCTTCCTCGTTTTAGGCAGCGACACCAACGACTATAAACCTGTACCTGACGTGCATTAATGAAGCCGGAGTAAGTCGATGCCTTCTCAAAAAAGGAAATCCAGTGGGAGCACAGATGTCATGATACCTCGTGTCTGCTTCTAGGAAGAAGGTGCACAGAAACGTCTCCGGATCAATGTCCGCGATGGCGATGATATGATTCCAGAGTTTAACGCCGCTCCGTTTGCCTTCGAGGTGCCTGAGATCTTTCCCGTCGGCTGGGACTTCGCATCCGAAAACACTGTCAGCATCAGTGATGCCGACTTCGGTGAACAGTTCCATACGAATGAGATCTCCATCCAGCAACACTCAGACATTTTCTATGTGCAACCTTCATCGTGCGTGAAGGAATGCACGCTCAAAATAAGCCTCCTCAAGCCATTGGATTATGAGGATATGAATGAATATCAATTCGACATCCTTGCCAAGGTATGTCAAGTAACGCTATGTTGGCGATGAACCGACAGGTTTGTCCATATGGAATATATGCATACTAGCTGTACTGTGGTTGCGCCTTCGGCGCTCCATTACCTTGGATAGTGATTAAGTCATTTATTCTTTGCAAAATGGGAAACACGTATATAAAGTACGTCCCATTGAAGTACGTGACATATGGGAACGAAAGTCGTTATTTTTTATCAAAATCATTACTTCAATTATTTCTAGTGTGCCTAACTTGAAACCTTTTCTTGTGTCCCTTTTTGTAAGGGTGGAGAAAACATTTTGAAATACTGCCCTCCTATAATCTACGCTAAGGTTGCATATTTCAAAAGTAGGATTTTTCCTGTACTCAGCCATCAAACCGGTACTTCTGAGGGAATTTTAAATTTTCTGTTTCTGTTTCGTTGGATCGAAAAATAATTCACGAAAATGGGATTCAAAAANCATCAAACCGGTACTTCTGAGGGAATTTTAAATTTTCTGTTTCTGTTCCGTTGGATCGAAAAATAATTCACGAAAATGGGATTCAAAAAATGCCCTGATGGGTTTTAACGAAATTTTTTTCCTTCTGAAATGTAGACGCAGGAAACTCCATGCCACCAAATTTCAGCCTTATATTCAATACGTTTCACCTTTTTGTTGGCAGAAAAAATGTTTCTGGAAAAACGACCCACCCAAAAGCTGTGGTCTGGGGAGACGCTTAGCAAAAGTTGAATTTTGCCTTAAATCAACATCACGTCCGTTATGCGTGCGCCAGCTGCTATTTTTCTATCTCTGCCCGATTCGTTAGGATATTAAAAATTATTTTAAAACGTTACGTCCGCATGAAATATGCCCCCAAAAATATTTCGCAAATTTGACATTTGACATTTGAGCTGAGTGCTTCACCAGACACGTTCTTGCCATGTTGCAGCTTTCCATGGGTCTCCGTTTGATTGAAGGAAAGAGAACTATTTGAAAGTATGTTCCCCGATAAGGTGTGCACCTACGGCGTGCATCACCAAAGTGGAATTTTTCTGAACTCAGCACGTGAATCGGGCAGCTACTTATGTCAGTCAGTCAGCTACTCACAATCATGTATATATAATATGAAAGTAGAATTGTTTCTTTACTCAGCTATTAAAAAGCCGACCCAACCAAAAGCTATGCCCCGAGGGGATGCACCATGAAAGCTGAATACTCCCTCAACTCAATAATATGACGTCACTTATACGTGTGCCAAGTTTCACCTTTCCATTTATGTCCCATTCGCCACGACAATTTCTTTTTCTTTAAACATCGCCCCTCGAGAAATTTCCCCCCGGGGATGCATCAAGACTTAACATTTTTCTTTAACTCCTTATCTTGGTAATCACATTCCTGCAAAGTTTCAGCTTTCCGTGTCCATCGGTTTAACGAAATCGGTTTAATGCAAAAAAATTATGTGAAAACATCTCCCTTTGAAATTTATGCACCCAGGGCATTTCATTCCAAAGTCTGAATTTTTCTGCACGGAGCATCCTGGTATGTAATTATGTACCAAGTTTCATCTTTCCACACTAGCTCAATACACCAAGATAAAAATAATACTTGAAAACGTCGGCCCCCAAAAATACGCCCCCAGGGCATGGATCTAAAGTTCTGCATTTTTCCTGAACTCATCGTGTCAGTAGGCACGTCCATGCCACGTTTCAGCTGTCCATGTCACTCCGTTTTATTTAAGCAACGGGACATGGAAGGCAAGAGAAGCCAAAGAAAGGCATGGAATGGCTGGGAATTGAACCCTGGACTCACGAGTAACCGGTCAGATGTGCTACCATTACACCACCGAAACGGTGACACATCGTGGCATCTTTCGATTACATCCTTATCCATCACGATATATATTGAAAAAAAAAGTATACCCCCAAAATGTGTACCCCCAGGGCATGTACCTCCAAAGTCGGATTTTTCTGAACTCTGCACCCCAAAAGGTACATGTGTAATAGCACCCTCCGTTTTGCTGGATCAGAAAATTCTACTGAAAATGAACTACATGTCCACAAAGTTTCAATATCATACGCTTGCCCTTTTCGCTGGTGAAAAAACATGTTTGGAAAAGCCGACCCACCCAAAACCTATGCCCAGAGGGGATGCACCATGAAAGCTGAATACTACCTCAGCTCAATAATATGTCACTTATACGTGACGAGAAAGGGCATCTGGAACGGCGCGCTCTGAGAATTAGCTAACTAGCATACTAGCTAATTAGCAAGTTAGCGCTCATGTAGCACTATTCGAATGCAGATAGATCCGTCATTCGGCCTTGGATGAAAGTAATTTGTGGTTAAAAGTTAAAGGTTAAGGAACGCGCTTTTCCTTGAAATCAAACGTTCAACAAAGCGATGAGTTTGACTTTTCCTGAAGCATTTCACTTTCCCATTTCTATATTCGACCTGAGAAAACATAACTCTCAGCTAGCGGTCGACAATCGCATGTAAAAAAAAAATCTCAAGAGATTATTTTTTATTATACAGGGACCCCTTCAAAGCGCGACGGCGCAGGTGACAGTGACCGTGCTGAACGAGAAAGACGAGCCGTTCATTTTCGAGGAAGCATTCTATACAGTCCAACTGTCACTCGATCAGGCGAGTTTGCCAAAATGCGAATTACTTAAAAATGGATTTCGTCAGACTAAGACCAACTCTGAACTGTTCTCTAGGCGCCGGGAATTCTGGATGTGGATATAAAAGCGACTTCGAAGGACCCAGGAGTTCTGAATTATCGTCTCCAAACGACAGGTCAGTGAATTCACGATTATCTAAAAGGCCGGGTGGACTTTCGCTCGATATTCGATCGGATTGCAGGGATTAATGGATTTGTCTATTTCATTCGTTGACTCATTGTTTAAACGTCGTGATCGATCGCCAGGGGTTCAATGAATTTCGTCTCAAGGTGTGGGGTGGTCCAGAAATTAAGAATTCATTCTAAATTCAAACTTGGTCTGACGTTGCTATCCATGCATGGCCATAGAAATTATGTCCCACTGGCCGCTTCCTCTGCTTCGAACCAATCTGTGGCATATTTGTTCAGCTCCAACCTGAAAAAAATTTGGTACCATGGTTCACTTTCCTTTTATGGGGCTAGACAGTACTCGCCGATAAGTACCACAAATTTCTCGCTAAAACTGTACTGAAAATCACGTGTGATCCATACATCGTCAGCTCAATTTCTTTTCCGTTTCCTTTCGACAGGGAATTAACCAATAATTTTTTTTGCTTATCCTGGAACATTGTTCGAATGACATCTTTGAGAATCAATCGAACCCGTTCTCGTTCAGCTTTCTATCCGAATTCCATCATTCTTTGGTCGTCTGCTCGGTCTGATCATCTCCAAGTTCCTCATCCGAAGCTTCGAATAGAACACCGTATCACATGCGCCGGGCTTCATTGACATAAATGTACAGAATTTCCAACTTTTATATAGGACTTTTATATAATAAAGGACTGTAAGGAAGGCTGGTATCCCTAGAAAAAAAAGTTTTTCCCGATTCAGAAAGGGGAAGTTTATTGTGACCTGTTTTCCTTTCGGATCTTTTTGTTGCAGTAATTTCAGTTCTCATATCAGGCCTTCAAACACTCCCATATGAAACTCAGACATAAAAACACAATATCCTCAAATAACGCAAAGGGAGCAGCACGCCTTAACGTGCTGACCTTGCCAAAAGCGGTTTATTCCCAACCAGGTGCCGAACTTTTGGCTACGGTCGCTTCGATTGGGAAGGAATTCTCAAGCACTGGTTGCAACATGGTTTCATGTATGCACTCGTTGATTCTGCTGGCGGGAAATAAAGTATTTTAGCCGAAATTGAGACGAAAATTGGTCGCAAGGATATTTCCTACCGAAATTGAAATAACAACCAATGTTATGGAAATAACAATTCGATTGCCCTGCCGGATATCATTCAGAGAACCAATATTACGTTCGATGGACACTTCAAAGTCTCGGAAGTAACGTTTCCATAACAGCAAGACACAAACGTAACGCAACCAGAATCGGATGAATTGTGGTCACTGCCTCGCCAGCATCCGAGATGCGCAGATGCCTCCTCTCCTCGATGAACACGGCGTTGAACAGATTGTCGATGGCTTTGAGGCCCCGGAAATCTTCCCAGACGAGTGAGAAGACTGTTCCACTCGTCTACGAGTGTCGTTCCAAGTCGTCGACCTGGACCAGGGCGGCCCTCGGTTCCTCGGTTCCGGCAAGAAAAAAGTTTCAAAATTTTCGCGGGTGATTAGGGCGTTCCGTTGGAACCCGACATCACCAGGTTTGCCTGTGTTCTGGGGCGACTCCGTTCTTCAGCAGAATCCATGCGGGATTGTTGCTTTCCCTCAGATCTACTTATCATTTTACCCCGACCTCGTCCATTTCGTATTTCACAATACTTACCGTCTTCACATTTTCTCGACGTCTTCGGCTTCCTCCGTGCGGTGGGATCAAATATCTGCTCTTGTTCCTCAGCGATCACGACATCAAATTCTTCCGCCTCTAGAAGGAAGACCTTGTTCCTCCGTGATTTTGTGTTCCACCTGAAATCTAGAGAAGACGGAAACTCCTGAGGTGCTCGTCGACAGATGAGTATATTTCATTCTCGGGCCCTCTCGACCGCAGATGTGCAATGTGCCAGATGGAGTCTTCATCTACATTTTGCCTCATGGGTTTCATTCCCTTCCAGGAATTTCCTGTTATCGTCTGCCCTTGAAGGGCATGTGACACATATCTTGTAGAGTTTGAGATACTCTGAGATTAGATGCCAAACGTTCGAGAAACTCGCTTCGAAACAAGAACGTCTTTGTGCTAATAATATATTTTAAAATAATTTTGTGTTGAAAGAAAACTGAATTCCTTGGCATGATTTTTGCGAGCGCAGCTCGTGTAATGATATATTTAAAAACATAAACGTTCAGACGCCATTTACTGAAGGTGAGGTGAGACCCATTCGAGCAGAGGTTAAATGGAAAGTAGAAAGATTTCATAAAAAGGGAATCATTCCTATGAAAAAAAATTCAAGCAGGAGTTCCTAAAACTCATGCAGACATGTCACCAATAAATACGGCCCAACACATTGGCTGGCACGATAGAAGGCTGGCAAGATAAGGAGCTGGCACGATAGGGGGATCCCGAGAGGAGATATATCCGAACAGGTCTTCCTCTTCTTCTCCCCGCAACGCACTCAATCAGCATTGAACCCACGGTCACATTTTGGGAAGAGGAACGAAGATGGAGAACGTCTCGTTAAGTCACTCTCTGGAAATATGGAGGAAGTGCACTATGAACCTGGTTTAACTTAACGGAGAGATTTTGTTGCGAACATTTCGCTTTTCTTTCAGATGAGATCGCCTTGAGCTTTTTCACCATCGACCACAACACCGGCGCGCTGAGTCTGACCGCGTCCCTCAACGAATCCATCACGAGCGACGTCTTCTTCCTCGTCAAGGTGAACTGCCGACTTCCCTTTGCGTCGGTCCGCCTGCCGAGAGGGCGTCATCGCCTTTTTTTGCTTCATTTCAGGCCGGGGCGGGGGTGAGAGAAGGTACGGCGGCCTTGACCGTGTACCTGCCGAAAGGTGAGCTCTACTCACTGTCTAGTGTCAAGGTCATCGTTATCGGAAGGCCTGGATGAAAGATAAAGCGGCGAACAGATAATTTTTGGAAGAGCAAAATTAAACTTAGATAAAACATTTTTCACATCATATATCCAACTGGTGCAGTTTTAAATAACAGATACTATGAAATTCTATGCTGATCCCATGTCGTCATTGACCTTTTTTCGTAGAGGATCTCCCTGCACAGGATGTGGAATTCCAGTTTGAATCCTACTCCTTCACGGTGAAACCACTATTGGGCGGCGAAACCATTGCAGAACTCAACATCTCCTGCAGCCTCATGTGCAGTTACAAAGTCTTCATCGAAGGCGAGTTACACGGAAAAAATTATTCTCTTTATTTCAGTTTTGAAGTCAATGTTGTATTAATGACAAAATTGCGGTTCTTCGAGACTTCATCTAATTATCTAATATGAAGGATTTTTTCAAATAATCGAAGATCATTTCCATTGACGAGAGAAGTTCCGAGTCATGTCCATTTTGAACATATTTTTCTATATTGCTGTTGCTCCGATAAGTATAATTTCGAGAAAAACGTCCGAATTATATTAAATTATTGATACTAAACTCCCATGAATTTACGCACGAGAGGACTTACACTAAAGTGAACCTGATTATTAAACCAAAAAGGAAAATGCTAAAATGTTCCATCTCCAGGAACCTTCTCATTCATAAAGACTCGAACGAAAGTCGTAAGTCACTCTCCGCAGCAAAATAAGATAAAAATGATGGCCAAACAAAAAGTGGGTCAGGAGTCATGAGCCAGGAGTCATGAGCCAGGAGTCATGAGCCAGGAGTCATGAGCCAGGAGTCATGAGCCAGGAAAATCTAGTGCACCAGGAACGCATTGCTAAATCATTCGCGTGTGCGGCTTCCACTAGGGAAACGAGTAACACAAGTCGGATTGTACTAACAATTCGCATTTGCTTCTGACATTTGGTCCTTGGCAACAAAATTGAATCTCGTGTTAGTTTCCGTGAATAATCGAACCAGTGACGAGACTGCAACTTAAGATTCCGGCAGCTTACCTCACCTAATTTACCCAAATCGGACTTTGTCGAGCGGTTTTTTATCTGAACGTTTTAATTTCGTACAAACATGAACATTTTTGGTTCACAAAAGAATATTGATACCAATAACTGCATAAATAATGCATATAAATAATGCCTTTGCGATCGAATTCGGCTTTTAGGGTCAAAATCAATGTATTTTTTTTCGAACTCTTAGCGGTTATTAAGATGGTGTTTGAAAAAGTGAAAGTATCAAAACCGTGAGAAGATTAGAGAGAAGTTTGAGTTTATTAGAAAATAAAATTGGTAACAGAAGAAAAACACAAAGAAAACATCGATTGCTCTGACAACTTAACGAAGATGGAGAAGGAAAAAAACGACAAGCCCCTCAAATAATATTGGAATGACATATAAAGAGAAACCAGCCGGAGTATCTGCCATTTTCCCATAGCCACGGGATGCGACCGGGAGTGGTTTTCTGCAGCATGTAGGTTCCTGCGGCTTGTGGCTTTCGTCCGAAGGAAGCCCAGACGTGCGCCAGGCCTTCTAAGAGATCCCTGACCCCTGACCTCTGACCTCTCATGATAGATCCCAGTGCGATCAGACATTTTACCGAGAGTGAGTGTATGCTCTTGGATTTGCCCGTTGTGGGAGTGAGCATTCCTGCCGGGCTTTGTCGGTCAATGAATGGTTCCGAACAGTCGCTGGGCATAGAACGGTGTCGCACCTAGAATTCCAGTTCCTCCGTACAAAGAAGAAAATGATTTCGATGTAATTATGCAATGTTTGCAAAAGCGGAGATGAAACAATGTAATTATCATCAGACGAATCAATCTCTTTCTCTTGGTACGACTTCGGCCCCAAATTTGTTTTGAGATCTTGTTCGCCTTCCCATCCAACAGGAGCTGACAAGGATTTCTTTGAGTTTGTCATGCCTGGGAATCTGATCGCGAAGAATGGTCTGGCTGCCGGGAGGCAATACGCCATCACGCTCCGCGCCGAGAGTGCCGATGACGTTGACATTGCTCAGGTACGTCTCAGATGGACTGATAAGTAGTCGGTAGCCTCTTGAGAAGTGTTGGTGGCGAAGGAGATGATGCTGTGGAAGCCCTTCATACAAGGATTCCATCATTCATGTCCACTTAATTGGCCTTCCCGTCCAAAGCTCACCGGTCACCAAACTCACCTCGAGATCCTTAGGAATGCTTATTATGCTTCGAATATTGCCCTTACAAATGCAATGAAGTGCTTCGCTCACGTTCTGTAGGCTGAAGTGATCGTCTTGGACGACGGCTGCGTCTCCTTCTCCTCCTTCATCTATGAGCTGGAAGAGTATGAGAACGTAGGGGGTTTTTGGGACCAGCTGCTGAAGCCAGTGGGTTTCGAAGCGGACCAGGTGAACTTCGAAATCATCGACTCTACTCACGCAGAAGGTCTGGGCTCTCTCTTCTCATGCCTTCACGATAGTTCTTCCAACGCTTTTCCTGGGAACTACTTTTACTTTATAACGAGTCATCGACATTCCTTATTACGAAGCAGAAATCAAA